TGCAAATTCCATTCATTCTTTCCTCTTAAGATAATTGAAGCTGTGTCCTTTGATGCTTTTCTCCTGTCCTAGAAATACAGATTCTTTCCAGCACTGCAAATGGGAAAGGATGAAATATAAATGTAGATGAGTCCCTGTTCTAACATCAGGCAACAATAAGCCGTGATAAATAAAATACTTGGCACATTTTTCAGCTGGAGATTGATACTGCTGATTCATCTTGTACTCATCTGGATTTATCCCTCAATTAAGGAATAAATTAAGGACTTGAAGTGAGGCATTAGCTCAAGTATGGCCAAATTTATCTGCCTCCAACGATATTAAGAGTCTTGCAAAGCACTCCATGGTCAGTAAATAACTCTCAGCTTTGGGTGACTTCAGGAATTAACATCATAACTTTACCTTTAAACCTCTGCCTTGTTGCAGGTAGTTAAGCAGAGACCATGAGCTGTAAATCTGCAGCAACAGGAGCTCATGGGGAGAGGGTATCTGGTGTCAGCTTCCAGGAGTTCAACCTTTCAGTTTGCATGACTATCTAAGTGCCTGAACATTCCAGATAACCCAGGGGTTTAACTTCAGGCTGTTTTGATGTAAAACCAACATGGTTTTTATCTTGAGAGAATTGCTCCCAGCAAAAAGGAGGGAAGAATTTTAAAGGCTTTCCCACAAGGCTGCCTCTTAAGCCAGAGGCAACCAGGTGAAGTTTACACCTCAAAGATTTCACTTCAATCCCTCCTAAATCCTGCTAATGACAATTCTTTAGAGCAGAGTGGTGGGGATGCTCCTTCAGCTCCTTCAACACAGGCTTGGTTGGAGTCCAAGACCCTCCCACCTCTTCCCTGGCTTTTCTTTTGAATATAGCAGCAATAAAACACACATCTGAGCATCCCACTTCTACAGTATGTTGTTGTCACACTCTTCACCTTTAAAGAATTCCAACATATGTTTCCCTAAATGATTTTTCTCTATTTATTCTACAAAGTTCCCAGAATAAATTTAATTTATTGGTTCTGACAGTTTTCATTTGGTTTGGACATTTCACTTGGGTGATTCCCCAAGCTTAGTGAGAGCAAACTCAGCTTGGAGCAGCTGTCTCCTTTCAGTGCAAAAAATGATTGATTTCAGATGTAGAATACTGAGAGCCTTGGTTTATATTTAATTTTTTTAAGATAAAATCAAAATTTTTAAAAAATCCTGCCCTTAAAGTGAAAAAATTAAAAGTGCATCATATATCACAGGACCTTGCTGCAGAAAGGTGTTTCTGGGCATGTTTCCATGCACAAATTCCCAGTGCTTGGTTTGCTCTTCAGTCTGTCCAGCCTGGATGTGGAGTTCATTGCAATGACCTCTGTTGGCAGAATAATGGGCTGAATTACAGCATCATTTGCATGGACAGAGTTAAAAGCTTCCTTTCAGTCTTAATAAATGTGAGGTTTAATCAAATGCCAGAAAATTAAAGCAGCAACAGTACAAGCAGCAGCAGAACTGAAGCCCTGGCACTGCCTGGTGAAGGTTTTGCTCTTGTTCTGGGGCCAAATTTTGGCTGGCAAGGCTGGAACAAGGGGAATTGTGTCAAGGCAAATTCTCCTCCTAGCACATTGAAACTTGAGTTTTTGACCCTACTTTTCTTAGTGGCCTCAATGTTGTGCCTGGAAACAACTGCTCTTGGAAGAGGAAGAGAGACTGGTTAGGACATTTCTGGGTCAGTTTGAGTTTATAGCTCACTCTTTGACTGAGTTATAGATGACACCCTTTAAAAAAATTATCCTCACTTCCTACTTACTAAGGGAGTTTCTTCTCTCAAAATAGAATGACATTTCCTAAGAAAAATTTCATTTGAGTGAGTCAAAAGGATTTTCTGATAAAGCTTCAAATATCACCACCTTCTCTTCAAGCTGGTCTAATTTTGCCTTTTTTTGTAAGAAGAATATGCTTACATTTTCCCACTCTGTACCCTTGTAATACCAAAAGGTATAGAATTATCATTCTGTATCAAGTGGCAAAATAATTAAGTATGATTCAAGTGTTTATATCTGAACTAAGAAAACTGTAAATGGGAGTAACAGACAGCCTCTTCCTAGATAAATGTCTCTATGAGGCCTCCTTGGAGGGGGCAGGAGGGTCTGTGAGGGTGCTAATAACCCACTCTGGCACCACAGAAGTAAAATAACAAACACACAAAGACCAGCAAGAGAAGAATTTAAAATAAGCAGAAATGGAGGCAGCCCCCTCCATCCTATCCAGATACAGAAGTTTTTGCAGAGGCAGTGTTTGATCCCAATTTCTGAATTTTAATTTGTTGCTAAAATATTGTAACTCTTTTAAAGTTTTTATTGTTTCTAAATGTATATTAATTTAAAAATATTTATGTAACTTCTCGTTAACAGAAACTGTGGTTAGGTGTGACATAGTTTGGACTTGCAGTTCAAAAATCTCAGGCAGTCCATGCCCTTTAAAAATAAACAAGTAAAATGGTCTGAATGAGCTAATTATTTTAATTGTCAATCTCTCAGTTAAGTGCAGTGCAAGATAGGGGCTGAAATAATAAAAATAGTTAATATTTTTCCAGAGAGGGCTATTTCTGGCTGTAATTTCAGGCTGTAGATTTTTGGGCTGCAATAAGCATTTTTCCTTCTCCCTCATGGGTTTCTTTATTTCCTTCCCAAACCTCTGTCCTCACTCCAGCCCTTACAACTGGCCATAGTGCAACACAGGAATGATTGTTTTCAGTAATTCTTAGGCTCTGCCCCAAACCAGAACAAATTAACATTAGTGACTGGGAATAAATCCTTCCTGAATATCTTCATCTAATTTTTAATAACAGGAGATATTTTCTCTTGTATAAGTATTTTCTAATTTGGTCAGCTTCCATGGTTTTCTCTCGGGTTTTTTTTTTCCTGCTTAAAGAAGTTTTTAAGTTCTGCCTCTCCTACATCCCGGAAATGCTTGCTAACACCTGCCATCTTCCCAGTTCATCTAATCTAATCTAACAAGAAATTTCATGTGTGTATTTTCCCTTGGTCCAGCTCCCCCTCTGTCATTTCCACACCAGCTCATGTTGTCTATGGAGCACCTCTTCCTTCCCTCCACTTCATTTTCCTACACCTGATTTCCCAGGAGTGACATTACCTCCTTTGGCTCCAGGAAATGGAAATAGGAATATAGGAAATGGAATATTTGCCTTTAGTCACACTCACACTTGGAATAAATCAAATAAATCCATTCTCTGTCCTATCCAAGCATGGACACAGCATTTAAGCCACGTTCAATGTCACATATATCAAAGATGGCAAAGGAACACCCATCTGGGAAGACTGAGCTGTATCTCATCTTTAGAGAGGCAGCTGCTTTGTTTCATCACGAGATTTCCCACCTGCCTCAACATTTCTACCATACAGCCTGCAGAGTTGTGCACAAAAAATATGGTAAAAGGATGAGAATCAAATGCATTTGGCTCATGGGAGTCATACAAGAGCTTTGGTGTGATACTAGAAATGTGCACAGTCAATTACCCATTAGGGAAGATGATTACAGACACCCATAAGGCCAGAGTGGCAATCCCTGCTCACCATGGCTGTGGAAGAAATGTAATGGATGAAGGAATTAGTGTCAGGTTTATTCAGATTTCTCCTTTAAGACTGCTGATGTGCATTTTCAGGGGCTTTCTTGTATTTCTCCTGACATTTGCAAGGCTGATTTATTTGTTACTCGTCGGTGCTGTAATCAGTGCTTTCATTTCCAGCCTTCTGCTGCTGGGCGTATGAAAAACCAACCAGAGGTGAAACACTCGTTGCTTCATTAGCACTTTATATTCTGCTGGAACACCCCGAGCTCAGGGCACTGCACAGCGCTGTGTGTGCCGGGTGGCTCCGGCTCCATCCCCCGTGCTCGGGAGGGTGTGAAGCCGTGTCCCCGCACATCCCTGCATGTATCCCTGCACATCCCTGCATGTGTCCCTGCATATCCCTGCATGTATCCCTGCACATCCCTGCATGTGTCCCTGCACATCCCTGCATGTGTCCCCGCACATCTCTGTCCGCCCGGGGCCGCTGCCGTGGCCTTTAGCGCTGAGTTTGGCACGTTGCTATGGCAGCACCCGGCCGCCACCAGCACAGGTCGGTGTCCGCGGTCCGGCCCTGGCATCGGGGGCGGCGGGAGAGCGGCGGGGAGAGCAGCGGTCGCACTCGGGGTGCTCTGCGAACCGAGCTCCCTGTCAGCTTGCACCGCTGCCCTCCCGCCCGGCTCCGCTGGGGAGGAGCAGCAACAGGCGCTCCTCCGGACAGCGCCCTGGAGGCCAGCAGGAGACGGGGGTGACTCCGCTCCGCCGGTGGGTGCTGGTAAAGGGACCCCGCTGCAAGGCAGCGCCGTGGTGCTGGGTCACGGCAAGGGCTGAGCTCAGCCGGGGCATCCTCGGGGCCGGGGGACAATCAGGCAAGGTGCGCGGGGGTGCGGTGCCAGGCAGGGTTCTGCCACGGACAGTCAGCAACCGCTTCTCTGCAGCCAGGTGTGGTTTCCTCCTTGCTCTTCATTAAGATGTAAGATGGAACAAAGTAGCTACACCGCAATACTCTGAAGTTCCGCAAAGAGCCAGGGGGAAAAAATGAGCTTCCTCTAGGGCCATGCAGACTTGAGCTGCATTTTACCAGAGACCCGACAAAGGTCGCAGAGCAGCGTCTGGAGGGGGACACGGGGGTCTGTACGAGCCTCATCCCCAGGCGCCGCGGCAAAGCGGGAGCAGCCGCGTCTCGCCCTCCACACCGAGAGCTGCAGCCGGAACGACTCTGCTGCCCCGCCTGCTCTCGCTGCCAGCCTCCCCGCGCCCTGGTAGTGGGCGGCTGAAAACATCCAGGGAGGCGAGTACCGACTGCGTTATCACTTACGCAAACCTGGCATCGCTGACGTAAATTTAGAAGGGGATTCAGCAAATAAAGGCGGCTCCCTCCAGCCCGCATTACCTCGAGTACTCTGCGCGGGCTGGGCCTTGCAGGACATGGCGAGCAGATGGGGCTGCCCCCGCAGCTGGGAATCCTCCCTGGGGTTTGTAAATCCTAAGCTTTGAGTTGAAGAAGTGGTGGGATGTGGTGGTGGGAAAGCGATGCTCCCATCTGGCAGGGGTAGTGAAGAGACTCCTTGTCACAGGCATGAGCTGCTCAGAGGTCAGGGTGGGTACAGGTTGCTGTAGCTCGGCTTTTCTGCTTCCCCAGCAGGACAGGCTCAAGCCAACAAAGTGTGGCACAGTGTCCTGAAAAAAAACAGGCCTTGGCAAATACCGGCAAGATCCCCTTCTCCAGGAGCTGCAGAGCTCAAAAGTGAGGGAGGAACTCAGCAGTTTGAGTGTATCCTGTGTTTGCATTGCTGGAAAAACATCCTCTGTGGTGGGCTGTGACTCCATCACACTGATCCTGTCCTCCGTGTCCTCTAACTAAGACACATTCTGCACACATAAGTACTTTTATTTAGCAATGCTATCTTTCCAAATAGCTGTTGAATGACCATTTCCCACGGCAGGAAAATGCAGAACTGAGGTTGAACTCTAACAGTATTTTCTTTGTTAGAATTCTAGCTTTTATTTCCTAGCAAGGACATAAAGCACCTTTCTTTTCTCCTCTCCTCCCAAGGTGCAGGTTTTCTCCCCTGCCGGGCTCTCCGGCACCCGCAGCCCAGCAGGAACCAGAGCTTTGCTCTGCCGAGAAGGGAAAGATGCAGCAAAATCATTCGAAATGTCTCAGTTCAGCAGATCAGAACAGAAGGGGGAGCCCAGGAGACAAAATCGGAGAGCATCCCACCCGCCGGGCTCCAGCCGAGCTCTGGATGTTAATGGCATTCATAGAAACTTGCTTTTGTTTCTACAGCCACCTTTTGGCTTTTGTTTTTGGTTTATAAGAGACCACTCTCACCTCTGAGTCTGTTCCGAATTCCCACGGCGCTGAGCAGCAGTTCCATTGGCAGTGCTCAGAAATCACCACTATGCTGCACTCCACCATTGTCCTCTGCATTTATGAGGCAAAACATCTAATTTTCCCTCCTCTTCCCCCACATTGATCCTCCAGGCCTCTCACTGTGCTCACCATGCCTTGCCTGCTGTTCCTGCTTTAAACCCACGTCACCTGTGAAGTCACCTCAGAAGTCACCTCTTGGCAGCTTGGTGGGCTGGTGAGCACTTGGCCTGCTCTGGGCAAGTCCACAGCCTCCAGGGAGAGGGAAGGGTTGTGGTTTCAACCCCTTTAACAAGGCAGCTGGAGGACTGATATTTTTATCAGCAAAGAAGCCTGAGCTGCATTACTGCTGGGGGTATGAAGTGTCCCAGCTCCAGGTGGGCCTCAAGGACACTGGACAACTCCCTGACCCATTCCATCAGCTGTATGGAGGAGATGCCTTTCCCTGCACTCCCCAAGATGTCTGTCAGGTGCAGAGATCATTGCCCACCACAGACCTGACCTGCTGAGATTTATTTAATGTTTCCTAACAGGCCGGGCTATGCTATGAGCCCAGTTTCACATAGTGCTGGTTTGTACTTCAGTATCTTTTGTTGCCTCCCTTTTGTTGTATCTCTGTGCATGGCTCACAAATACTGTTATGTCTGTATCTGCCTTAGTAATTTCTAATTTATTGCTGATAAGAATTTGTTTTCTTCTCCAGATACCGACAATATGCCCGTTATAAAGTACCCCAGGGTTAGAGACCCTCTCTTTTATGAATGGGACAGGAAAGCCCAGAAATGTGGATTAAGACACACAGTTTATGCTGTAAATGGGGATCAGTATACTGGAGAATGGCTGGACAACTTGAAACATGGTAAGACAGATAATTTTGAGAAAAAATAGCAACTTAGATGTCCTTATAAAGGCTCCTAGGAGCAGGAAGTGGTCACTGGTTCTATGCTCTATATGCTCCTAGAAGAGCATTCATTCATGTATGACTATATGTACATACACATATATTTGATATATGTAATGCAAAAATGCATTTCTAATAAGTATCTTGAAGAGCTTTTGCATGCACTCAGGGGCAACTACCCAAAATATCTGTATTACAGATGTTTAAAAATCCTTTCCAAATACAGCAAACTGCAGTCAACTCCATGCACTGGGATGTGCCCTGGCTGCACAGTCCCTGGAGCTCTCTCAGCTCCTGACTTGGCTCCAGGAATCTTAATTTATTCCCCAGATGTGGCAGGGGCTGCAGGGGACAGAGCAGGAGAAGGAGACCCTGTCTGAGCCAGGAGCAGCCAGAGCAGGACAGACTTGTTTACAAGCAGTAAACTGAGGCTTGGAAAGATTTCAGTGCATTCAGCACAGGCCACACAGGAAGCCCCTGATCGAGATTAACGATGGTTCCAACTTGGGAAACTAAATTGAATCCCAGACCTAAGCCTGACTTTGTGCAGGGAGTGCTGCCCTGCCTGGGATGGAGCAGGAAGGGCAGCCCTGTGCGCCCTTCTCCTAATCATGATGGTCCCCTTGTCATTCCTCTTGTTTGTTGAACAGGTAAAGGCACCCAGATTTGGAAAAGCACAGGAGCTATTTACAGTGGTGGCTGGAAGTTTGGGAAGAGGGATGGTTATGGCTCCTACAGCATTCTTGACCCAGTGACCAAGGAATACAAGAGGGTGTACACAGGCTGGTGGGAAAACGACCGAAGATGTGTAAGTGAGATTTTCTGCCAGCAGTGAGACCCAAAACACGGGCAAGAGTTGGGTGCACGTGTGCAAAAAGATTACTTAAAATACTAATTTTCACAATACTGAGGCTGAATTGAGTAGTCAAGACTAAAAGATTTTTATGTGAGTGCCATCTCCTTCCTAGAGAGGGAATCATCCCCACCCACCTGCTGGTTACCAGGCTACAGCCCCAAGCTCCCACCGGCTGCCACAGAGCAGTGGTTACTGCTCACACTCACCTGCACCTCTGCCAAGCACAATGGGAGGTTTCACATCCTGTCTCTTAATCCTCCCCACCCATCCCTTTCATTCCTCTCGTCCTTGAAAAAGTCAGAGGAACCTGTATTATAAGCACTGCCAGAAAATGCACCTTCTTCTAGGAGTTTTACAGCATAATAGGCAAATAACTTGAGTTCTTTTGGGAATTAAGCCTGTCACATAAATCACTGTTTTTCCTTAAAGGAATATAATGAGAAAGTCATCTGGTAGAAGTGACTGCAATGTAACGTGCAAAATCCTTGTAGGAACATTTTTGGATCTGCCAATGGAAACCTTGTGTTTGTGTCTGCTCCTAAATTAAACTCATCTCCACCAATGCTTTTAATGGGCATATGGCTCCATGGCTCCTGTCTCTTGGAGGGAGCTTCCCTTCCTGTTCTTTAAGGTTAGATTTTCCATAATTGAGCTTTGGTGAAAGATTTATAATGACATCCAAATATCACTAGCGTTGGGTTTTCTTCTAAAAAAGTTTCTCCCTTACATCTATGCAGTTTAATAAAATTAATACTCAGAAAAATCAGTTGTTTCTAGATTTGGTTTTATTATTTGTTCAGAGGAAAAAAGAAGACTTTATTCCTATGGGAAAAGATATTAGTGATATGGAAATATTTCCTATTGGTATCACTGCCTGGCTTATCTCTGGACTTCTCTTACTGGCAAACATACATGTAAAACAAACAAGAGGTGGAATTGCCCAGCCTGGGACACACTGAGCTGGAAACCTCTAGAGGGTTGAAAGACATGAAATCCTCATGTTGAGAGACACTTCCTTTAATGCTGCCTATCCCCAGGCAGGTTTATATACTCGTAAAACTCGCTTTTAGCTAAATATTAGCAGCAATCATGCCAATAATAACACACCAAGATATAAACCCAAGGTTTTTGTCAAGGGAATAAAATTGTTTGCCAAAAAAAATCCCATACTACCACATCTCATTTCCTTCAGCACGAGAACAGCCACAGAGCTGGGCTGCCAGCAGCCACGTGTAAGAGTAATAAACAAAGGAATATTCTATCAAAGTGATGTCCCAAAATTGACCACTGTCCCATTTCAATAGAGCAGCTCCTAACCAGCCATCCCTGTCTCTGCTGCTGTCCAGGGCCGAGGGCTGTTCTTTTACCCCAACGGGGAGCACTACGATGGCGAGTGGAGCAATGGTTTGCGCAGCGGCTGGGGAAAGATGCACTACAAGGACGGCTCCGTCTACGAGGGACAGTGGCTGACGGATCAGCCCAACGGGATGGGCGTGCTGCGGCTCCGTAAGTACTGACCGCCCTCAGCCTGCCCCTCCAAGCTGTTCGGTGTCGTGCTGCCATCCAGATTTCTGGGTGCTGCACTGCAGCCTTGCAGCAGGACTGCGGCCGCTCCGTGTCATCCCTCCCCTCCTGGTCTGGAGCCGGAGGCAGCACAGGCTGAGCAAGGGCCGGCACTGCTCTGCTCAAGCCCGTAAGCCCGCACGCATGAAAGCTTACTTTTGCTGTGATTTACATTTAAATGACTGGGATGGTTCGGGTTAGAGATAATATACTGTTGGGTCAGAGAAGAGCAAATCTCTCTTTTCAAGCCAGGCACTTTGCCAGACAGGCTTTCTAGCTCTGCATACCAAAGAAGAGTTCAGTTTCCAGCACAGGAAAAAAATCCACAACAACATAGTTTTCTTTTTGAGTTCACTCCATCCCCTCTGTCTACTTCCGACAGTGGCTCGTGTTGAGTGAACACAGGGGTTTCATTAGTACACAATCCTTTTCCATAAATAACTCTAAGCACATCATGGATTGGGAATGTTAGGGCCAATCTCAGCATAAATACAGAAATTTAAATTTTTTTCCCCTTATTTTCCTTGGAGTTTAACACATTTTCCCCCAAGGCCAAGAATCCCAAGAATCTCTGCAATATTAGGCATGGCATTCCAAGAATATCTGAAGAAATCTTATCTCTGTATTATTATTCATCTATTCTATCTTTTTTTTTTTTTGCTTGAAAGTGATCTCAAGGCTAGTAATTAGCTAAGCAAAGCAGCTGCGAGGAATGAGCATGACCTTCTCTGCACACCACATGCATGACTGTGCTCTCTCTGCTGCCTGTAAAGTCGCTTTGGACCGATGGCTCATCTGGATGAAATCAGCACCTGCTTCCAGGGGGAATCTTGCACTGATCTGTCAAAGGCCCTGTTAGCTATAAACTAACAGCCCCTGCAGGCTGAGCCGTGGCTGATGCACCATTTCAGAGCCCAGTTGCCTCCAGCCTAGCCTGCAACTGATTGTTAGCTGGATTCCTTTTGGTTAAAATTAGCCGGAGCAATTATTTCATACCCACAAGCTTAATGCATTCAGCTCAGCTGCTGGAAGTGCGCCCACGTGCCGGCAGCTTTGCCATGTGAAAGAAAAGGAGTTCTTCAGTGGAGGTCACGATGAGCTGCAGCTCAAGATTAAATTGCTTGTAGTGGCAGCGTGCCCGGTGAGGGTGAGCTTGGCTGAGAGCACCGTGCTGATCTGCCGCCTCTGCTACATCCATTCCCCAACAGCTTTGTACCAGAGCACTTCACATCCACAGGGATCATGGCTGTGAGCAACACAGCCTCGGGTGCTCTGGGAGGAGAGCAGATGGGAGCAGCCGGGCACCACAGTGCAGTCAGGGTGTTCACTACCCCCTCCTTGCAGCCAGGGCTGTGATTTTGGTGGTTTCTCATTTGTTGGTGGCTGGAGTGCAGAAGCCGAGCTGCTCCTGTGGGCAGGGCAGCTTGGTGTTGCAGATAAGCACAAAACCAGATCAAAGTTGCAGATAACCATCACCATGGCTCCAGCCTGTAAACCAGACCCTGCCTGAGCAGCCCAGCAGCCACATTCTCCGGAAGCATTTTTGGTTCTCCCCTCTTCCCTTACAGTATCCTGGCAGGCCCCAGCTATCTCTGCAGCACCGTGTGCAGTGCCCAGGTATTTTAGCCACTTCTTGTGGTGAAGAATGGCAGAGTTCAGCTGATACTCAAAGGTATTTCCACTAACACGGTCAGATATCCCCATGGGTTTGGGCTTAGAAACACTGTGTGTAGGAAAAGGGGTGAGCAGAGGATTCTCCTAGTGACAGCAGAGTGGTCTGGACCTATCCCAGCCCCAGCATCACCATGGGTATGATGCTCTTTCTCAACCAGCATCCATGGATGAGGCTGTTCTCTTCCCCTTGTAGTTCTGCTTTCCTTGTTAGTGATGGATGGGTGGATTCCTGGAGAGCAGCAGAGAGCCCAAAAAAAGCCTCTCTCGACATGCAGAAAAATGCGAAGAGAAGCAGTACAGCTGGAAAAACAGCCTGTAACTGACTGCCTGAACCGTTCAGACTCTTACAGCAATTCTCACCCCGTAATTCATTGAGGAAAAACTTAACTAAAAGTATTCTTTGAAATCCAAGATTATTTTGACTGGACAGCAATCAGTGCTCTGTTCCTTGCCCAGACAAGCAAACCTCTTCAAGCCAGAGATACTGCTTGATTTGTTGCAGTGACAAATCTGAAACACATGTCCTGTAATTTTTCACGTTGTGAAGAGTGATTCAGGGACCAGTCCCTTACCCTGAGCACACTGGCTTCTTGTGCCAGCAAAAAATGAGTATCACTGTGAGAACAAGGCAGGTGAGCACAGTCCTGGTTCCAAGTGAGCAAGTGTGGGCTCCTTCTGCAGCATTTTCTCGCTCTGTGCTACAGCAAATGGAGCACTGCAAAATCAAAATGACACAGTGCCACAGCCACCTTGAAATTACTAAGAGGAGCCAAACACATGATCTTCTCCTCTGCTGGTTTGCTCTATTGATTGATTTCACTTGTAACCCCTTAACAAAATGGTGCAAATTTCAAGGTCTGTTCATGTATTCAATTGCAGCAAATGGAAATCGGTATGAAGGAGGTTGGAAAGATGGCAAGAAGCATGGCCCAGGGAAATTCTTCTACCCAGACAAGGGACAGCTGTTAGAAGGCATGTGGGTAGCAGATATACCAAAGTGTGGAGTTCTGGTTGACTTTGGCAGAAACAACGCTCCAGCCCCTACTGAGTCTCCCCTCCCAGAGGTAATTGCTTGGAAATTTTGGTGTTTGCATTCATCAGTGCTCGGGTCAGCTCTCCAGGTAGCATTTCACTCCTCAAGAGATTTCCCCCATGGGGTGTGTGCTCACAGTCTTTTGGCCAGCAGCATCCTAAATGGCCCCATAGGGACTAACAGCTCATGAAGCCTCTGCTGGAGCCTCCCAATTGCCTACATCTGAAAAAATGCAGTTCTCATGCACCAGAACTGCTCAGAGACCTGATGCAGCACAAAGGAAATGGGGACAATAGAGGCAGAGACAATAGTGGGATTTGCGTCAAGACCAAATGATTTCACCAAGCCCAACTGCTGAGGCTGAGCAGACCCTGCAGGAACCCGAGCAGCTGCAGGGCCAACAGCAGCTCATTCCTCCCAGTCAGGGGCTCAGCACCGTGCCCAGCAGCCCCGGGGGCAGAGGGGTGTGTGCAGCTTCGAACCTGGGCCCAAGGGGGGCAGATGGTGTCCTAGAGCCCACATCCTCTGCTCCTCTTTTCCCCTTCCCAGAGCTCACATCCTCTGCTCCTCTTTTCCCTTGACTGACATACACTGCAGAGGAAGATCCAGGCCCTCTCCCAGTCCCTAAGATTCTGTGAGACACAAAGACACACTGGGCCACCAGCCTGGCAGCCACTGGGTCCTTGCACATCACTTTGGTGCAGGACCTGGAGGAAAGGAGAGCCTGTCCCCAGCTCTGTGCCCTTGGAGGAAGAGGAAATGGGAATCAGCAGTGAACAGATGACTCCAAGTGAGAGCTGGCCCTAAGAATCTCATCTTGAACCCTCGTGGTCTGTAAACCACAGATGTGAAACAAAATGGTCAATACAGAATGGGCTGGGGAAGATCCCCTTCACTTAGAGCCAAGCAGAACCACCCTGGATAAACAGAGCTCACCACTTTGCTCCAGTAACACAGGGAATAGCACAGCCCCATGACAGGTAAAGCCACCCACCTTCCTCTGGCACAGGCACATTCATGGCAGTGCAGAATAATAAACCCCAAATACCCACCAGAGAAAAACAATCTCTATTTTCCAAAAAGAGTGAAAGGAGCAGCACTTCTGGAGCTAAAAATATTTACTATATGTGGTTTGTCAAAGGTCACTGAGAAGAGCCTCTACAATCCAACAGCCTGTAAAGAATTGCTGGTACACTAAGGCAGGATGTGCAAGTCTGGCTGTTTATTTAACTCCCTGAAGACCAAGTGATGATCCAACTCACTTCTGCTCTATAAGCAAAGCATCAACTTTCACTGCTGTTATTGTGCTTTCAATGGGCAGATCTCAGAATACTAAAAGATAAAAGCAGAAACATTGAATTCAGGTTTTCATAAACTTTTGTCACCACCACCTCCTTTATTAAACTATAGGTGAGGCCCAACAGACTACAAATCAAAGCCACTTTTGCCCAAGAGTGTGTTTTGTTAAGTAACTCAGAGCTATTTCAAGGAGATAAAATGATGTTCAACACACTAATAAAATTAGGGGAGTGTAGTTGTTTCTAAAACAATAATTGAAAGGCTGCAATGTGAGCTGAAGTCCTGACACGTGGGAGACACTCTAATAATGCTCAAGTAATCAGGATCTATAAAACCTTAAGCTTCTTCAATTACACTGCATAACTGATTTGTATTCTTTTTATTTAGATTAAACTACATGATCCAGCTGGTGTTTTAGCAGAGGCCCGGGCAAGGTTTGATGACAGCCATAATTAATAACCAGATTCTGAAGGGATAAAAAAAAAAGTTTCAAGAATATGATCCTGGGTTATTTATTCCTTCAAGTCTCAAACCCACACCATGGTTATCATGTCGTGGTCTGCCTCACCCTTCCCTCAAGGCTGTTCAGGTAAACTTCCCTCTGCAGGTGGCTTTGCTCAGTAGCCTCCTCACACCCTCATTATTTTGGAAAAGAAAGGAAAAAGCTTGAGGGGAATAAACCCAAAAGGCAAGCACCAAAACACGGGAATACAGGCAGAGTGACTGTTCAGCTCCTATTATTCCTCCTGCTAAGAAGTCACACTCCTCTGGGTTTCAAAGCCTTTGCTTTAGAGGAGGGTTTCTAATATGTGTTTTAAAAGCATATAGAAAAGTATACAATTTAGTAATTGTGTCCCCTACTCCTCCCAATACATACCTGTGACCCAAAATGGCTTTTGGAGTTACAACCGATCATGTTTTAATTAATAAGTATATTTTAGGCCTCTAGATAACAAATAATCCACAACAATTGAGTATATTTTATTTCATGAAAGTATTTTATACCCAAATAAGTGATATACAATAACCAATGTTTAAAATGATTGAGGTAAATGCCTAACACCGTTAGTATAAATAAGGGATAAAAAAAATTTAAGTGCACTCAATTTTAGATCCACGTGTTTGTGTCTGGTTACTGCCTGGGTACACAGTGACAAAGGTACCCAAGGTGTAACTTTCATTTCCATTTCCACCGGTGGAAAATGACAAAAACATACTTGATATCACGGCTTAAAGTGCAGAAAATAGTCAGAAAATTAGCTGTGATAACAGTGCCATTAGCTCAGAGCCTACCAGCTTGAGAAAACTAAAAATAACTATGTCCCACTAGCTTCTAATTCTGTATGTCTTAAACAACAAGAAAACCCCACACTTCTCAGTCACTTTGTAAAAGATCCACAAATCAAAGAGAAATTCAGCTACTTATCCAGAACAGCAAGGAATTTTACAAAATAAACTTGGAAAACGGATTTTCTAGACTTCAATTCAGAATCATGTAACTTCTAAGTACAAAATTTACAGACAGAAGTAAAATTTTTACACCTGACCACACCTTTCCAATCAGTTGCTCTAGTGTGAATAGTAAATCAGGTTTTCTTCCTTTGGTGTGGGATTTTAGGGGCCTATTTCCCCAAGACAGAACTGGTAAAGTTCAGTAAAAGATGGGAAAATACACTTTGTGCCTACTACCAAGATTTTGTGATTTGGAATGCTGCTTCTTTATTGCCTTTACTAAAGCAATGCTTCCAGTGCTCCATGAACAAACACCTGTGAGTTTTTATTAGTTTTTCTTCTGTAGCTACAATCCTCACGATCAGATTTACATCAGGAATAGAATATATCTGAAGCATGTAATGGCAGAGCTGAGAAAATCCAGTTTGCCCTCTGTATGCCAGGACTTGTGAAAACACCAAGTGGAAAGCTGCTTGCTGCTTGTGAACCATGACTGCTACTGAAAAAAACAAGCAGCCCAGCAGGTTTCTTTTTTTATAGTTATGTTTTTAGAATACAAAGGCACCACGGGTGACCTTGTCAACACTTTGCACTGTGGTGCTGCTGACAGGAGAGATCAGTCCCCATCTGCTTCAGTAGTAACCACACTCTGCACCTGAGCTCCACAGGCACTTTGTACAGATTGCAAGTACTTTGGGATAACCTGAGATGGAGGTTGGTGTGAGAGACCACGTTCAGCCCAGGCACAGCTCCCCTGGACTGTCACAGTCCCTCCTGTCTCATGGCAAAATCCCAGGTTTCCATTCCACAGTGATAGCTACAACTAGTGATAGCTAGTTTTGTGTTTTTTTTTTTTCCCTTTGGCTTGAAACTTGTCTCAGTTTGTGTTCAAAAAACAGCTTTTACCCATTAAAGCCCAAAGCTACTCTGCAGAAGAACGGTGTTCCAAAAAATTCATCTCCTAAACATAGCCAGAATTAATGAAGCAGCCCAGGACAACTGCTGGAATCTTTCTTGGACAAACCTCTTATCTAGGAGACCAAATGGAAGTTTTTGCTTAGAGGAAATGAACAACACAGTAGCCTTGATGTCACAGAGGTGTCTGAAAGAAAGCAGCAATATTAATTACAAACAACCTACTTTCATAAATAAATATACATCAACGAAAGTTGTCTTCCAGATCCTTTGAAAGCAAAAAATGTATAATGAGTTATTAAATACAACACTTCAGCAAAGAACACTTTTCTAAACAAGGAAGACAAAGGCATTGCTAATTACTTGGGAATCCAATACAGAGAAAGCACCTTTTGCTGCTTGTTTCTGAGGATTTATTAAAAATATATTTTCAATATAAAAGTATAAAATAATTACTACTTTGGCTTGGAAAAAAAAAAGCAGTGGTTCTGATTTTCAAGCAAAAAAAAATTATCCAGTGATAATTTCCATCTAGTTCCTTCTTTTTTAAAAAAGGTTCTTAAATGAGAAACAGGCAAATCTATCTCTCCAGATAACATGTGCCAGCTCATGAGAACTTTAAAACAGTTATTGCTTTTATTTTCTTCCATGGAAGAGAAGAGTCGAGTCTCATTCCTACTCATGTGGCCACACCACATGGCAGTAAGTCTAGTCCTGGGTGTTTAGCAAGTTACAAAATGTGTAAGTGCCACGGGAAAAAGGCACTGGAGAAATCAGCAAAGTAATAATTACTTGGCAGCAAAACATACTGGGGAAAGTGCTGGGAAAGCTTTCACTCCTACCATCTGTCAGGCTTTCCAGGGAGAGCAGCACTAGCACTGAAACCGAGTGCTAATTGCTGCATGTCCCAAGTAATTTGTATCATGCCATGCAATATGGATAGGACAAGCAGTATCTTCTAGTAAATGCCAACATCAGATAAACAGAGAAAAAAAAATCCACAACTTCTCTATCCATTCCTAACAAATACCCAAATGTACAATGTTATTTTCCATGTATTTATACAGCCACCATTCAGCATTAACGAGAAAGATGCGAGACAGTGTTCACAGGAGGAGGGCTGCTCACACAGTGCAATCACACCCCACCATCCATTCCTTCAGATAGCAAAACTTGTATGAAAGGAACATTTCTTTTTCCCCCTCTCTAAAGGGCTAGAATATTTATAATTATTCTTTAAATGGTAATCAGCAGTTCGATCAGTTCATCCACAGGGAGTCACCATAAGGCAGAAGCAGAATAGTGGGTTTATTTTTCTAAGCACAGGTTTACGCAAAATTGGTGACGGCTGAGGTGACAGCGTCACCTCTGTGATCCAGCTGATCCTGGAGCCGTGCAAATTCAGCAAGTTCATTGAGTTCCTGAAATTGCCTGTCTGTTTTGTGGCTCACCAGTGACCTGTAGAAGTGGACTGCAAACACAATAAAAATCAATCCAAAGGGCACCATAATGGACGTGGATGCAATGGCTGCTGCCTGTCCTGATGTGATGCTAGAACTGTTGCTCTGCGGGGTGTTGTCAGTTTTCTTCTTTAAAGGAAGGAACTTCACCCAGCACAGTAACACCACTTCTGCAAGAAAGAGCAAAGTCCCAATGACAGTGGAGAAGGCCCACGCGAGCTCAATGTGCCGGTGCATGCGCTCGTGAGGAGATTCCTTGACAGAGTTGAGGTTATGCACATTGCTAACAGCCTCTATGTTTGGGAGAATGCAGGTACTTATCATGAGTGCAAAAAGGTGAACTGCAACAAGCACAGTGGTGCAGGCACTGAAGGCTATCAAGAGCCCCTGAGGATAGTCGTGGTCTGCATCAAGCTGAACTTCCACCATAGCCACCTGAAAAGGAAAGGGGAGAGAAATGCAGTTACCTACATCTTATATTGACTACAGGTTATTCAAAGTTTACACCATGTTTCTGGAACATCTGATCCAAACAAAGTGAGTCTATATTTACATTTCTCCTCATGTCAAACTGTACCCTCTTCATTAGGTCCAAATTTAGGTCTGAGCTTACCAAGCAAAGGCCACTGTTTCCACTTACTGTTCTGTCGTAGAGCAAACCCACAACCACCTTGCCACCTGCAGCTCATGCCACCAAAACAGCTGACCCTTATGAACAGCATATTTGGACACCTTAAGTGAAATATTTCTTCTTTTGTGTTATATAGAAGACACAACTTTTGATCTTTCACTTATAAAGTCTTTTGAAGTATCTGTATAAGGCTGCAAAGGCAGGGGACTGCCTGAAACAACCTCGGTGGTCCTTCCTCCTTGGATATTTGGGTTTAAGTTCTAAAGTGCAGAAACCTTTCAGGAAAAAGATCACCCTTCCATGGGGCTCTCAGCTATATTCTTTCAAGTATGTAAGCAGACTCTGGAACACAGATTCAAAATGTGAGTCTCCACATTGCCCATGGCAGTCAAGCAAGCCTGTTAGAGGCTTAAGGAAAAACAATGTCTCCAGAAAAGATAACACAGTGCTCCCAGGCATCACTGCTTCCCCAAAGATGAGGCTACTCATGAAGGTGTTCCAGCTCTCCACTACCATATGCAGCCATGCCCTTCTTGTAACCTTAGATCTCCAAGCATGCCTGTTCCTAAGGAGTAAAAAAAATCAGCATTAAATAACGGTATTAGGAAACTCATAAAACCAGCTGGGATATTTCTCACAAAGAAAATGAACTGGACTGCCTTTTAACTGGTTTTAAATCTGCCAGGTGGTTTTGTGCATATATGCAATGGATGAGTGACATTAATCCCAACAGTTCTCCTGGAATAATCTTTCCTGATAAATTTGCCTTTCAGACAAAGGATAGTTCCAAAGAGGGAATAATGCACCAAGGTCTCTATGTTCAGTGCTCTTTCTCAAAGGAACTCATTAATCAGACAAAAAACAGGTAAAATGCAGAGGAAAAAACCTGACAGCAATCTGAAATATAAGCACATCAAGCTGATAGGAAGAAAGATTCCTGGGTAATACAGATGCAGGGAGGCATGGAAACCAGGGCTCAAAAACAGCTGCAAAAGCAGCAGGAATGTTCAAACCTCACTATTTTGCAAGAGCTGCGCTAAGCTAACCTAGTCCTGGATCCATCTTATGCATGTTCCAGGACACCAGAATTCTTAGTCACTAATGCACCCAATAGACTAAGGCAACCCAGGGTTTTGCTCAGACATGTTTCAACAGGCATTCTAGGCCATTTGCCAATTTTTTAATTCCTTTATTGAAGGCTTTTATTGTCTTAACCTAACCACCCAGCCAACTAGCAAGCAGTTTCCAAGAGTACAAGAAACTCAACAAGAAATTATATTAATGCATATACAGTCCTTGCTCGAGGATTTAAAAATACCATTTTTCAGCTGTGGGAAACTTCACATTTGAGAGGATAAACATTTGCTTGTCAGGTCTCTCTTCTGCAGGATTGCTTGTTAAGTTGCAGTGTACTCGTGGGATGTTGGGCTTCCTGTGTTTTCCCCAGAACAATTGCAATCCTTCACCACTGAGGATTCATTTTCATACTTAAAAGATTTTTCTTGTAAGTTTTCTGCTGTGCCTAGACTCAAAGCCATTTAGCATGGCAAGACACTTTAATCCTTTATCCTAGTTCTTAGTATGAGAACATAAACATGACACTAAAGAGCTTCATGAGATGAAGACTTTATTTTCTTTTAAGAACTGATGGAATTTAGTTTGCCAAACACTGAAGACATTTTATATTTCCATTTATCAACGCCTCCATACAAATGATATCAAGCATCTGATTTTGAGCTCCTTGTGTTCATGTCTGGCAGAGTAACCCCAGTCTGACCCATAAGTGAAAACAGTTCATGTTTTCTGTCTCCTCAAACTCTCAGCAAAGCTAATTTGGGAGCTCTTTCAGTGTAAACTAACAGAAAAACTGCCAACTCTTTTCAACTCCGAGTTTACTTCCTGGGCCAAGCTTGAGCCGGGCACCTAAACCAAAAAGCTTCATTTTTCACCATGAGGGCCTGTGCCTGTTTTTTAACAGTGATGCAAAGTGTCAGAAGTTCCTCCCTCCTTTGCTCATGCTACAATTTCAAAAGAAACAGATCACAACTGCTCTTGTAAAGTAATACCTGCAAGAACAGGGCCCTGATGAGGTCATCTGACATGATCCAATTCATATAAACTCACAGGTACATACATTCTAGGCAGGAAATATTCCTGCTCTACTTGTTCAGAAGAGCTGCTCAGGACAGGAACTGTCGTCAATGGCTGCACACGTTCCAATACAACACTTTTAGCACCTTATTCTCCTCCACTTTCAAAGCTTCTCTAAACACTTGCTGCATGATTTGACCGTGCAGCTGCCATGCTGCAAGTGCCCTGCCTTGCTGTGTAATCACAGTGTAACGCGGGCTGAAGACACCTCAAGAGGTCATCTGGCCTAATCCCTGGTTCAAAGAAGAGCTAACTTTAACTCCAGATCATCCTACAGATATGACTGACAGATTTACTATGGCTCTTGACAAAGCTGCACATCTGAAGTACAGCTTCTTGACAAAACTAAAGGACTCATGACATTAGGACACAAGACTGAAGCTCTCATAAGCCTAAAAATGGCAGCATTCAGGTGTTTTTAGAAGATAACTGAATTTTGGGACATAACTGTGTTAAGCCTTCATCAGGTCTGGATTTCAGAGTCACAGCAGCCTTACTACCAAATTGCAGGAAAAAAACAACTTGCCCCCCGGAAAAATCTGCACTTCAACTTCTTCTTAAGTTCAATATACTGACCAAGTTCATTTCACTTACTTGTTCATAAGGCTCCCATGTCTTACTGGACCCGAGGAGCTTAAATAAAGCCCCTGCTTTTAAATTAAAATCACAGGCTTACATCTTTTTCAGAATGAGTAGACAGTGCTGCAGAGAAAAGGACATAAAATGCCTTATCTCAAGTAAATCTGTTATCTATGAGCTATTTATTATTTACTTCCTCTCCTTCCCTTCCCCACAAAGATGCCTCTGAGCTCAGGTTGGTGGGAATATAACCCTGTACTGGGACTGCATTTTTATAGTATAGCACATCAAGAATAGTTTAAAAGAAAGCTGTGTTGATCAAACATCACAACTGTATTTTTGAGGGCCCATCCATCATTGCTTGTCTATGGGTGGGACCACAGAGGAAACTCAATAATGAGCTAAGTGTCAGAGCATCACTGGGATTCAGCTCCTCTGGCTGGCTCCCTGCTTTCCTGACAGTACAATTCACTCCAGAGACAGAGGCGCAGAGCCAGGCTCTCACAGACTGTCTGCACCATTCATAAAGAGTTATAAACAACTCATACAGAGGCTCTGTATGAGCCAGAACAACTCACCGGAAATTAAAAACAGATAAGTCAAAATAATGATCTTATTTACTGGTTTTATACAGAAGGGAAACTAAGCATCATTTATCCATTAGTCCAGGATCTTGACTCTGCAGATTATTGTATGCTGCAGAATGGCAAAACACATTAATATTTGCTGATGTTGACACTGGAGTACAAATACAGGATCTCATTTGATTTTGCTAGCAAACATGAAAAGGCAATACTTGTGTGGTTGGAGTAAATGCATGTTGAGGAGCAAATATCCCTCTACAGTGTAACTTACAGCAAATATATTCAGTAAGTACAATTTCAGATTATCCAGAGGCTCAGCATCCCCTTTACATTCTCCAATCTACAGCAGCCACTCACAGCTGCTCCAAGACAGAACGGCAGGAGCCCCAAACACTCCACACTGCCTGCCTTGCTCATCTATAACCTCCAGACAGAGATGTTCAAAGGAGGCACAAAACTTTCCTTTTGTGACTGGAATAGAAGAAACTTTCTGCATGGGGGAAGATTCTCCAGCACAGCTCTAGCCTGTAAGTGCAGCAGCATTGCAGAAGGCTCCGTGGAAGCACAAGCCACAAAACTGGGCCTGAACTCTTTCCTGCAGGTTACAAAATGACAATGTTTCATGCTATTCTACCAGCAACCCAGCTAAATACCACTTAAAAAGTTCTATAGAGACTGTTTTAGTATTTAGAACAGCCAAGTGATCTTTACTAGACAAGGACAATGCTGTCTTGAGCACCTGTACAGCTCTGACACCAACGGCCCCAGGTTCTACAGAACCTTACCTCAGTACCAACTGTTATTATGGAAATCAGTTTAACAAATATTTATCACTGCAGTCTTCTGCAGAACATGACTGAAGCTGTCTTCAGGAAACCATACTGGCCATACTTCAAAGGCAGGAGTTGACAATTCTTTGATGATATTCAATATTTAAAGAATATATATCCCATCTACTGTAGTGTATAATTCAGACCCATAGTTCTGAACCAGTTATTTTCACAAAGTTGTTAATTGGTGGCAGAAGGAAAAGTTGAGTCTTCTGGTTTTATGACTTTGTGGCATTTAACAACTTTCCTATGGATTCTGATTCTCATATTGTAACATTGTCATGCTACTGTGTTACACATCCCTGGTGACAAAATGATGCCAACAAGTCAGAATAACTTTAAACAAAAATAATCTGTCAGCAGCCTATTCACTGTGAAAAATAAAAACAGATAAAGCCAAGCATGAGAGGGAAGATCATGCAACAGTATCTGGGCTATAATGCAGAAGTGAGAAATATCTGCTGTCCCCACCAGTGTATGGAATGAATCCTCCATTCTTTAATGCACTACACATCCCCTACAATTTACATTTTCTTTCTCTACCTCTAACGATTTGGGGGATTGATACTACTAGCTGGCTCTATAAATTGGGAAAGTATACTAAATGAGGTTATAAACTTAATTTTCTTTTAGACATATGGCACTGGATGATAGCATCCATGGAAACCTGATGAAGGAAATGCTCAGGTTTACTGGGGCAAGCTCAGCTCTCACATCACACCACCAGGCCCTGCAACTGTTACTGAAGTTCACACAGAATGGCAAATCCCGATGTAGAGCTCTGAAACAAAACTAATGGTAAAACAGGCTTTTAATCTTCTCCGAGGAAACATAACACTTCAGGGTTTGAATCCTGGCTGAGCATTTCATACTCCACCTCACTGACCTGAGCAATGCCTTGCTTTTGGCGTGCCTCATTCCACCACGGTATACATCACCAATCCTGAGGGGGAAAAAACTTTGCAAAATGGCTGCAGTCAGATATAAAAATAGTCCAGAAAAAGGGAACACTTCAACGGGGATAAACTTAGCTTCTACTAGAGGATCATAATCTTTAATCAAAGAGCAAGGATCAATGGGGCTGGCATGGAAACCAGCACTCCTGACAATTCCCATCAATTCACTGGGTGGTCCTGGATGTGTCACTTAAGCTCTTTCTTCCTTGCCTGATAAGGAAAAGAGACGAACAATGACCCTTCATTGCTGTTGCCAGCTTTGATCCAAGACTAGAATGTACTTTAGCAGCATTCTGTTCAAGTATCAGGTGCCAAAGAACTGCAGTCAGTAAACAGTGCACAAGCATGACAGAACAGCCCAGCTTTTCAAGAGGGACAACTCTAAAAGTTTTTAAAAGAAATCTAAAAATACTCGAAAGTTACCTCAGCTTTTCTGAAACAAGATTAGGAAGTCTTAGCTAGAGGACTAGGACTAGGTCTGTCAGTGCAAAACCAAACAGACTACGGGTGGATTTCCATGCTGAACTTGTTAAAGGGAAAAAAAAAAGTGGATTTTTTTGAGGGGGAGCTTTGGAAAAACTTAAATATGAATGTTCACATGTAACATTCCTGGTAATTAGAGATTTTGTTACTTGGAACGAAGTGGCTTTTTCCTGGAATACCCAAAGCAACAAATTCATCAGTCTTCAACAGCAGGAGACCAAACCCCTAAAATTCTAGAGAATTAAGAAACAAGCAGAAGCCTCACCTCATACATCCACGGATTTTGAGAGCACACATACCACATCTTTAGAGAAAAACCAAGGAATTCAAGACCTGAAGTACAACCTTAAAACAATAGAATTTACACTGAGATGCAACCTCCCTCAAAGAAAATTTCTAAATCCCAACAAACTCCGTATTTCCCCATGTTCTCTCTCAATGTAAAGGCCTGACTCAAGCAGTCACAAACCACTCTGAGAAGGCAGAAGGGAAGAACTCTTCATCAAGGAAAACTCATTATGAGAAGCAGCGTGCGAGCTCCCAGCCGGATGCGTTACCCAAGGAGAAGCGACTCAAACGCAAGCACACAAACGCCTGTCAGTCAAACGAGCAGCACTCCGCCACCTCCCCAAGAGTTGTGGTCTGTTTTTAGCCATTGAAGGAGGACAGTGACATTTATATGACCGTCAGGAGGTTGCTGTGTTTTCCAACAGCATCATTGGAACAATGGTTCTGGAAAAGAGTAGATTCAACAGCTGGAAATATTCAGTTTGTTAAGAGCGGGGCAAAAAAATCAAAATAAAGCAAGGTCAGAGGAGTGAAATTCCAAATTTATTAACCGTGAAGAGTTTGTAACAGCTGCATAAAGGGGCTCAGGGCAGAGTTTGCAGCTTTGCATGTCAGGTGTCTGGGCAGATGAGGAAGTCTGTGAGTGGAACATTCATATAAGATAATTCGGGCTACTAGACCGCACTTCACATCAAACTCGAAAGAAAACACACACGAACAAAAAACCGTTTCTAACTACGCACAAAACTCCGAACCAAGTAACATTCAAGTTTTCCTTAAAACTAGAAACCTCGCAACTGCAAAGGACTGATGATGAGCGGCATAACGAACTTTAACCAGTTGCATTTCTTGGTTTATTTAAAAGCAGTTTCAGCACAACAGCCGCCCTTGCCCTCGCTGCGCAAGGCGTGCGGTCTGAGACAGGAGCGGGATGGGAGCCCCGAACCCGGGGAGCGCTGCGGGGCTCCGGGCGCGGCCCCTTCGCTCCCGACACCCCGAACACCCCACGGTGACCCCGCACCCCGCGGAGCGGCACACGCGGCAGGCACCGCGGCTTCTGCGGTCCCGAGCATCTTCCGCGGGGGAAATACGTAACGATCCAACAAATCTTGCATTATTTGGCGGAGATAAAAGCCGAGAGGCAGCTCTGAACTCGTGCCACGAAGAGCTCCAAAACAAACGAGCTACCGAAGCGAGCTGCAGGGAGCGGTGCCCCCGCCGGGCCGGGCGCTCCGCGGCGGCGGCGGCGGCGGCGGCAGCGCCCGCCCGCTCCTCGCCACCCCAGGTGCCACACGCCGCTCCGGGGGCAGCGCCCGGGCGGGCCCGGCCTCCCCGTCCTCACCGCAGCGAGCTCCGGCGGGAGAAGCAGAAGCAGCGGCAGCGCTCCCAGCCCTAAGCCACCCCCCGCCCGCCGGGCCAGGCCGGGCGCTCACCATGGCGAAACCGGAGAGCAGCGCGGAGGTGCGGCTGGAGGCTTTCAGCTTGGCTCGGCTCAGGTAGAGCTTCCGCCAGGACAGCGCCTGCATCGAGTGCTCGTTCAGGCTCATGGGCTCGGGGCGGAGGAGCGGAGCGGAGCGAGGTGGAGCGGGGCTGGCGAGCGGCGGCGGCTCTTTCCGGCACAGCGGGCCCGGCCGCGCTAACACCCCATGGCGGCAGCGCGGCTCTGCCAGCCCGGGGCCGCGCCCGCCGCGCGCCCCGCGAGCCCCGCCCCGGGCCCGCCCTGCCGCGTCCCATTGGTCCGCCCTGCCTGGCCCCGCCTCCGGCCCCGCCCCGCCCGCGCGCCGCCGCTTCCCGGCAGCCTCGAGCCTCAGGCGGGGCGCGCGCTGTGCCCCGGGGGCACCGCCCGCCGCCAGGGGGCGCCGCGCCGGCAGAGCCGCGGGCCGTGAGGGCGCCGCGGACCGGGCGGGGCGGTGGGACCGAGCCCCGAGCCCCCGCCGCAGCCCCCGCCGCGTTCCCCGGGTGAGCAGCTCAGCTGGAGTGCAGCTAACGGGAGTGGGTAGTTTCTGGTGGGTTTGTGCCCCTCAGTCCAAAACGGGAGCCCCTGCGCTCCCCAGGGCGGACAGGATAGGGTGTCCCCTTGCAGCACGTCCCTCAGAACAAAACACAAGGCCGGGCTTCAACATCTTCGTCCTAAAATGCTTAAACATTTAACTTACACCTGTCCGGGGGGTCCAGACCGGTCAGAGCATCCACCCTCACTTCCAGTTAAAACTGACCCACCTAACCCTTTGTCACGTAGTTCAGGATTTTCACAACATTTTGTAGGCCCAGAGCTCTTGATAAACCCGCCTTTATCAGCAAGCACTTGATAAGGTTGATTAAGCAGAACATTTCAACATCTACACATGCCAGTGTTGAAAGACTTTTTATTACCAGGTTCACATAAACCCTTTAAACCATAATTCATTTTTTTCTATGTTTTACAGAGGAAAAAGTGAGGCGTAGAGCAGAACTCCCTAGTGAATACTTGGCATAGTTGTGAGGTGATTTCTGAAAAGGTGAGGCAATATACTGCTTGTGCCACATCAAATTTGTGCATCCGGAGACTTAAGGGATGTGTAAGATATAAACCTATTGCTATAAATTTGTAGTTAAGAAAAATAGGATTTAACAATACAAATAATACTCGATAAGGATAGTTTTACTATTAACAGGCACATGGATGGTCACCTAGGAGATGAATCCATGCTAGTTCCATTAGCAATCAAAAGCGTCGTTAGTTTGTGTTGTTTTGACATTTTCCACCTTATTTACAAGTAGGAAAATCACGGCAGATTGTCTTTAACATTTTTGCTTTGTTCTTCACACCTTTCTGATTTGCAAAGTCCTTCACTTCCTTAAGCAAAACAAAGGGAACGACAATCGATACCAACAAAGTCACTTGATGCTTTTCATATACAAGGCATTCTTTTAAAAAAGATGTAGCGAAAACATCCAAGAAAAATAATCTTAAGGATTTGAAGTCTTCAGAGGCATTCCCTGTGCTGTACAGATCTGATCTCATTCCCTTCACGGGGAAATAAACACAGTCCTCCAGTTATAAACAGCTTCGGGTGAGATTTTTATCTACAGGGGCATTAAAACACCTCTGTAGAAGAAGGAGTTTAACTTAGTCTTTCCATAAAAGCCTTAGCTGTTCTATCACTGACTCCAGAGAATTCTGGCCACCTTCTTTCTCTTTTTTGGGTGACAGTACTGCTGTGTAGGATCCATTTGAGTAGAAGTCCAACATAAGTTAAAATTTAGAGGTGAATTTGGCACTGTCAGGTTTGTGGTTAGACTTGATGATGCTAAAAGTTTTTCACAACTTAAATAAGTCTTTATTAAACACTACTCTTTCTCAGGTGTGCTTTAATTATTACCCCCCCAAAAATACAGAACAGAAGACCACCCCAAAATGAACATTCTGTCTCCCACTGCTGCCTGAAGCTCAGAAGAAACCAATTGTGATTTATCACTTTTTTCTTGGGAGATACGATAACCATCAAAAAACAGTAACTACAACTTCCTCCACACCTCAGACAAACATTTAAGTCTCTGTCCTGTGGAATTATATTTTTTAAAATATTTTGCATTGCCACTCATAAGCTATAACAAATGTTTATGTACATGTACATAACCAATGTGGATTGTTCACAATTTCTTCTTGTTTCTGTGCAAAATTATAGTTGAACTGTAACATCATGAGGGAGTACACTGCACTAGGTCTTGACCCGTTCCCTAAAATCAGATTTCTCTTAAAAAAATCCCCAACACCTGCAAGAGACATCCATCTGACAAGGACTTCAAGTGTCTTTCTAAATAATTTTATTAAAATAGACTCTTTGAACTCACCATTCCTCTATTTTCCTGTCCATCACTCTTATTCCTGCTTATTGGAAAGGGCTTTGAAAGATACAGCAACATTAAACACTGATGTACTGCTGAGTTTGTATTTCATTCAGAGAAACAGTATGAAAAAGGACCTGCAGAATCAGTGAAGGCATTTCATCTCATGCCTTTTTCCAAACCAGGCCCATGTGTCATTTTGAGATTCCAAGCCTCAGTGTGGTGGCTTTGAAATAAACATTCCTTTCCTGTAAGAAAGAAAAGATAAATCAGTTTGTTAAACAGAAAAACATACACTAAGGATCAATGTGAGGACCACAGCAGTGCACTCTTTTCCCTCTCTGTCCCATTTTACAGCTCCATCTGAGGTACAAACTAAACAGGATAAATTATTTCCAACTCTATTGCTCATTATGACACACCTCTACGCTGCCACTCTAGAGTGAGCTGAAACTAAAAGAGTCAGCCATGCTTAATAAACTCTTAGAAATGCTTCAGGGAGTTCTTCTGAAGTCACGCTGGGGCTCTGAGCCGGGGTTTGCTGTCACCTGTGACCCGTGCAATTGCGGAAGGCCACCAAAAGGGTGTATCCTGCCCCCTCCCTTCATCTCAGCCCTCTCCATCCAGCCTGTGCATCGCACCGATCAAATGGCTACAGAGCTTCAGCGGATTGACCTAATGAAATAAATAGATTTTTTTTCCTTAATGGCTGAGTTTTCTGCTGGATCGGGTCACTGAACTGACTCACCCCGTGGTTGCACCAACACCAGACCTAATGCAAGAAAAGTGAGGGATGTACATGCAAGAGAAGGGAACGGGCCCTTTCAGCAGCAGGCTGTTATTACCCCTAATTAGAGGTAATGTCAACCCGTTCTCTGGATCATTTATGCATGAACACAATCGGAGCAGGTGGCAGAAGTCCAAGTTTCTTTCCAGAAAGCCCCGAGAAATCTGTACACTGTCACAAGGATACTCACAGTTCTATTTTTCTGCTAAAAATGTACTTCTGTATTTTCTGTAGGAGGCTGAATAGGTTCTCTGAGTACCCTGTGATTAATGTGATCCGGTGCTGAGCACACCGAGGTGCTGCCCTCGGCACAGCAGCTTTGCTAAAACGGATCTCCAGCTTCACATGCAAATCAGCACTTCTATTTGTTCCTCTTACTGCACCCAACCCGAATCAAGCCACCACAAAGTGGAAGTCATGGTAGATCTGCATTAAAAACAACATATCTGAACTTGCAAAAGGCAAATAAAGGCTTGGGAGCAGTCCCAGGGAGGTTAAAGAGAACATCTTTGCAAATCTCATCTAAAGCAGAGCTTAACATTTAGCTGATGGAATTTCTGCAGATGAAAGATTTTGGTCTGTCATGTCTAGAAAAATTGTATTTCAGCTTCCTTCATAAAACAGTGAAATACTTAAATATCTCATCTTCCATCCTAGCCCAAGGTAAGGAAAATATAGAATGGTAGATCTTATAGGATAAACAGTATCTTCAAAAATGTTTTAAGATTAGTCCAGTCCATTCTATGCAATGGGAAGTAACTGTTTTAAAGCTCAGTGGAGTGAAATGATCCCACGTCTTCATAGAGCCTTCCCCAGCAGAGCACTTCAGCTCTGGTTTCAGCATGAGCCCTGCAGTACAACATTAATTAAATGACAGCTCCCAGTTCCAACCTTACGAGGTCAGGATCCAGCACCTTGGCATGATTAGATCTTAAATAATTTAAGTTGCATTAATGTCTAGCAAAAAAACCTTTGTGCTTTTTTCAAGGAGTTCAGCCCTGCCCCTTTCCCAATAGCCACCACTCCCTTTCCACAGTTGATACTGTGGTTTTGACACTATATCACAATGTTGATGTGTTTTTCCCGTGTTTTTGAAGTGGAGAAGTCCAGCCTTGTGTCAGGCCTGGGCTGTCCCGTCCAAGCACTGCCTGATGGGGCCCAGCTCTGGGCACTGTTGGAAAACCCTGCCATGATCTGCTTAGAGGGGAAACCAGCCCCAGTCCTCATCAGCCAGCACTGAGCCTGGGAATTTAATATTGCTTCTAAATGTTTTTATCATGTCTAATGCAGCTGTGGATATGGATATTCACATCATCCACAACCTACATATTCCCCCTCCTCTTTTTTTTTTCCCCAGTTGTTTTAAGTTCGGGATAGGTTTTTTGTTATTGACACACAGATTATTTCCATGGTATAATGAACCGTAGTTGAATAGGTATCATTTCTATCTTAAAACAAGGTTTAAAAAGTGTTTTCTATTTTTGGAGAGCTATAGATAGAAACTGTGTTGCTTCTGAAACATTTACTTCCACACTTCCATAATGTGCTCTGGTGTTTCCAGGTGTATGTGATGGATACAGTCTTTGGTGGGTTTGCTTGATACACAAGAGTCTCAGATTGTCCATGTCCCAAAAAAATATTCAGAAAAATGAGTTGATTTTCTTTTATGTCTCTGTTCTGTCTCTTTTGGTAGACTTTTGCAGCATGGATGGATGATGTGTTTTTTGTCTGATGATTCTCTAGCAACATCCGTTTATCTTGTATTCTGACCTCAATCCTACAGATGTACACATGTATTTAATTTTAAGATTGAGTAATCTTGGCTGAAAGGTCGAGATATGTATGTATCTCCTCAGGATTATGGATTAATAATGCACTTGCTCCAACAGACATCTGGAATCCACACTTCAATATATAGCCTATAAAACACTTCCATACCATAATAAAGTTCAATCATCTGCAAGTAGGGAGATGTTAGAGAAAGATTACATGATTTTTCAAGATTCTGCAAACAGTTCTTGGCAGAATCAGAAGGAGAAGCTTGCTGCCTTAAATCCTGTTAGAATTCTGTCCTCTCTTGCCTTTATCCACGTGTCATAGATCATTAAAATAGGGATTGTTCCAAAGGGATCCGACAGCAAGGCCTGCAAAGTTGAATTTGAATGTGTTTTAAATTTTGCATTAACACTTAATATATTTCCTATAATACCTAGGATGCTTGACTGATTACAAAAAGCAAACCAGAGGAGCACTGCCAAAGCCATCAGTCCCGACCCTGGGTTTGGGTATCCTTTGATGTTCCTTTACTTAGGGGTGTGTGGGGGAAGTAAAGGATGTCACTTCAGAGAGGAACCATGCTGTGGAACCTGGGGGCTGTTCAAAATCTGCACTCTGACCCTGCTATTGCAATCAGATGGTCCCAGTACTTGCTCAGCATCAATTTAGAGTAGATGTTAGTGGGTGTTGTAGAAATGAGACCCGCCGATAGTTTTAGGAACTGCAGGATCTCCATCCTGAAGATTTTTTGTATCAGCAACTACTTTATAGCATTTTTACCTACTTTTTCATGCGATTTCTAACTACCTCTTGTACATGCGTATTGCAAAGGCAATTCTGGTTTATTTAACACCTGTTTAACACCATTAACAATACATTCTGTATTTTATGACCGGTTCTCACAAGACACGTGGGTGCAGTGCCGGGAGCGGTGCCGGCATCAACCGGGGTGCGCGTTCCGCGCCAAGCCGCACCGCACGTGTGGCAGAGGCACGGAGCAAAGCCACCACCACAATTAACCCCAAGTCCGCGTACTATAAGATTATTTTCAAGTGTTTGCTACAATAATTCGCCACTCTTTACCCCGTCTTTACGCCGTTGGGGTCGGGCACACTCGCGGAGCTCAAATTACCCTCGGTTAAGCAGAACGACTCAACTCTTCGGGCACATCCCGGGGGCTGCGGTACCAACCCAGGGACCGTCCGCGCCTTTGTGGGGCCCCGTCCCCGTCCCCCCGCTGCCGCTCAGCGCCTGCGTGCCGCGCACTCGTGACCGAACACCGCACGGCGGGGCCGGCGGCCAGCACAGCGCCGGTACCGCCCCGGTACCCTGGCCAGCAGAGCGCCGGTACCGCTCCGGTATCCCACCCAGTCCCCTATCCCGGCCAGCAGACCGCCGGTACCGCTCCGGTACCCCGGCGAGCCCCTCCATCCCGACCAGCACAGCGCCGGTACCGCCCCGGTATCCCACCCAGCCCCCCATCCCGGCCAGCCCAGCGCCGGTACCGCCCCGGTATCCCGGCCAGCCCAGCGCCGGTCCTGTGCCGTACCCCCGGACATCAACCCCGCCCGCCCCGGCCAGCCCAGCGCCGGTACCGCGCCGTGTCCCCGGTCCGCCCCCCCGCCCCCCCCCCGGCCCCGCCGCTGTTTACGTTCCGGGCACTGCGACGCCTGCGCCCCGCTCCGCACGCAGCGCCTGAACATGGTTCCTTAGGACTTTGCAAAAGGCATCGCCGCCGCCCCCCTCCCCTTCCCTCCCCCTTTCTCCCCCCCCACCCCCAAAAAAAAGTCCTGGTGCAAAATTGCAAAACTTTAGCGAGCCCTGGATGGCTTTTGTTTTGCCTCCTCCCCATTTGGGCCAAATATGCAGGACAGGAACTGTTGACAAATAAGTGATGAAACTCTCCAAAAAAATGGAGGCAAAGAAAGACTCTGGAAGAAGATTGGTGTGTAGCTGGCTTCGGTCTCTTTCCTATTCGTGCCTTTTAATTGATTTTGCTTAATTGTTTGCAAAGGGAGAAATGCATGTGGGACGTAGGCAGCGGAGCGACTTAGTTTGCAAGAGCGCGGCTGAGGCAGCGGGGAAGGGGCGGAATGGAAGCGAGGGACGGGCAGGGTGGGACGATCATGGATCATTATTTTTTCCGGTGCGTGCGGGTTTGCGCTGATCCACCGCGCGTGTCCGCGGGGCTGCGGGGCGGGTTCGCAGGGCGAGAGCTGCCGGGAGAGGGGCAGAGCCGCCGGCGGCAACCGGTGCACCGGGCTCTCCCCGCTCCTCCGGGGACCTACCTTGTGCGCGGCCGGTCCCCGCCGCCTCCAGCCCCATCTCTCCGCGCCCGCCGCAGCTTCCCCGGGGCAGCGGCATCGGCCTCCGCCGGGCCTACCCTACATCCCCCGGCATTGAACTCGTTGCTGCCCCTCGGCCGCGGACCCCCGCGCTTTCGGCGCTGTCGAGCGTGCGGGGCGGCGGGGGGAGCGCGCGGGGGCTGCGCATCCATCGCGGCGTTACATAAAGCGATCTGGTTTTTAAATCGCCGCTTCCGGTGTGACTATGGAAACACTCGGATTATGTAAATACCGAAACCTGGATGCTGGGCATCAGATGCGAAGATTCGCCCCCCTTCCCTTCCCCGGGGAATTAGCTCGTGTTCACGTACAAAAATAATAATAATAATATTAATAATAATTTTTAAAATGATCCTCTCATTAACGAGCGTTGACCGCCGTTCACGGGTTTTTATGGGATTGCAAAACGCATCGGTGCTGTAGCTTGTGAATTGTCGGCGAGTTACGTGTCCCCCGCTCGACTTCCAGCGCCAGCCCCTGCTCAGCAGCCCAAGTTTGAGTTTTCCTGAAGCCAAGCACCTGTTATTCCTGCCGAGTTCCGTGTCACGGGATGGAAAAGGTGCATGCAGAGGGGTTGGAGCTTGTTTGGGTTCAGGTTTTGTTCAGTTTGTGCCTTGCCATCTTAATTATTTCCCCCAGAATGTGTCTGTCAAACCGTTGTGCACTATCCATGTGCTTCCCTGGATTTTTTCTTTTCTGGACAATGTGTTTTATTTTGGTTTTTGTGTCTTTTCTAGCGCTGCATCGGCCGAAGACGGTACGATGAGAACGAGGACCTCTCGGACGTGGAAGAAATTGTCAGCATCAGGAGTTTCAATTTGGAAGAGAAATTAAAGAGTAAAATGTACCACGGGGATTTCGTGCATGCCATGGACGGCAAAGGTAACAGTGCCGGGCCGGGGGCTGTCCGGCCGCGCTCGCCGCCGCCTCCACGTGCGGCTCCGCTCCGGCTTCGGATTTCGCGCCCGCGCCCCTGCCCGGGGATCCGGTGACGCCGCCGGCCCCGGGGAGCCGGGGGGCGGCTGCTGGCGGGGCCCTGCAGCCCGGCCCGCCCCGGGGGGGCTGCCCCGGCCCGTCCCCCCCGCACCCGGAGGGCGGCTTTTGCCCCGGCGCGGTGCTGGGATGAGCGCGGTGATCCATGGCAGCGCCCAGCGCTCCCCCCGCCGTGCCCCGCCATCGTGACCCCAGCGCAGCACCGGGCCGGTCAGGAATTAGGTCCTGGCACGGGAGAGGCCCAAACCCCAGCCCCCACTTAGCCAGAGGTGATTCCTGCTCCCCCTCCGCTCCCTCTTGAATCCAGGACCCCTTTTGCCAAAGGGTGCGATTGATGAGCCTGTTCGCCAGGCTCGGGGACTTTAAAGTCAATAACTTCTTTGTGTGTCTATCATATATTAAATTACAGCTCTCCCCTCCCCAAAGTTACTTGCTTTGCTTAGGTGGCTCGAATTCCGGAGCGGTAAGCAGAGCCAGACAGCCCAGCTCTGCCGCACGCTGCCTGGCAGGAAGGGAAACGGGAGAGGTTTGCCCGGGAATCAAACGGGCCGGGGGGTTTGCAGGTCACCTTTATTTACCGCTGTGCTGTTGACACGGATCCCTAATCCCAGATGGCTATCACCAAAACTGGGCCTGACTGAGGACGCCTGTTTAGGATGGCTATCTCAAGAAAGAGATGTTTTGGCTGTAATCCTCCTGAAATTGCTCTAACTCTGTGGAGCCACTAATCGAGTTTAGAAAATTTCCTTTTCTCCTCTAGGCTTAGTTTTGCATGAACATTTTAAGCTCCTTTTAGAAAAGTTGATGTGTGGTGGAGAAATTAAATACCTATCTTGCTTAGGAAGGTGTTTGTTTAGGAGATAAGCTCAACCCTGACCCCTCTTCCTCCAAACAAAACACAAGCAACTTTTTTAGCTGGAAAATGTTAATTAATTTTCCAGAAAATGATTGCATTCTACCCCGAGTTTTCAAACACTCCAGTGGTTGTCACTGCTCCATGCTAAGGATAGTACAATCCACATCTTCCCTGGCTTAGCAGCTCCGAAATCTTTGGGCAGCTCTCTCCTTTCTAGGGAACTTGAAAATAAATGAGTGTCTTTTGTTATTTTGTTGTGGTCTGTGTCGGCTTTGTTCAACCCCACAAGGGATTTAAATGCTTTGTTGGGGCATTAGGAAGAAAGGATCTGCCTTGCTATTTGCTCTGGTTTTATTTTTACTATTGGTTTACTTTTTTTCTCTATAAACCTAAGAGTTGAATTGAATCTGGGCAAAACAATTACAGTAGTATGTAAGAATAAAACAATTTATATGAACACATGGAATTAGTTGAGCAATGTATTTTTTTTCTTTCCCATGTCCTTGTTTTTATTTTTAATGATAACTCATCTTGCAGTGGTGTGAGTTTTGGCTTGAATGCACTTTGTCATAGCTACTTGTTCTTTAGTTTGCAAGGCTCTGCTTCTTCCACCAGTGTTATTCCTGATGTTTGTTGACTTTCTGACTTGGATCAGTGTCTGTAAAAAGTCTCTGTGGTTTATTTATTTACTTACCAAAAGGCAGTAGCTTTAATGGGGATGCCTATGGGGAAGGATGACTTCTTTAGCACAGAAATATTTACTTGGTAACCTTAGTTAAATGGAGTGTTCCTTACACTTACTTTGAGCCTAGTGGCAATAAAGTTTTTGTAGTTTTCATGTTTCTGTAAATGGATAATTACAGTGCTCTGATTTGGTAACTCTTAAGTAGCAACATTATACCCCTACTTGTCATAATTACTAACTGAATACAGCAAAGAAAAAGTTGTAAAAATAGAGGGCAGTACATGTGCAGGCACGCGATCTTGGCCTCTGGGCCCCCTCTAACTTTCAGTGTGGGGTTTAGAGCAGAGAAACATCAGGAATAGAAGCTCAGGCTGAGGTGCTTGTGCTGGCCCAGGAGCGTGGACAGCTGGATGAATCTTGGGGTTAAACTGCTCGTGTGTACCTGAATAAACTGCAGGGAGTGTGCACTGGGTTTGGCAGTGCAGGGCATTTTGTAGTGCTGAACAGTCAAGCAATGCTTTCCATTTCAAGGCAGTGTATGGACGCTTTAAAAAAGTAATTTTTCCTGAAAAAAGGTGGAATAGCAGAGCCATAGAAACAGTCCATGGCTGCTGCAGGAATTCCTCTGCTCTCTGTGGCAGAAGGCTCCAAACTGAGCCTGGGGTTTTGTAGCCATGGCTCACCCAAATCGCTGCCTTGTAACTTCCTCTCTAATCCCCATATCACTGCTATTGTGTCAGACCGTGCATAGAGAAATCCCCAGGAAAGGCCAGTCCTGTGTAATCCTCAGAGAGGAGCAACAAGGTAATGCTGGCCAGTGTTAACATGACAAATTTATGTTTAAATTTCACTTTGATTGTGTATTATACTGTGACTCCTCACAATTCATTTTTCACAGACAGATTTTCACTGTATAAAATCTCTCAGCTCCTGGAGTTACATTGCTGATTAATTAAAAGAAAAGTTGTTCTGTTAAAACCAACAGAAACCCCCACATAAAAAGAATTATGTGTTCATAGAATCAGGGCTCTCTGCTAGAACCAGATAGTGCTCACAAGAAAGCATGTATTTATCTAAGTAGAACAGTGTAACTTAGGATATCTAAACTTACATATACATTTTAAACTACACATTTGCCCCAAAAAATACCAGACTGATTTGCAGTATTTGGTCAGGATTATCTTTTAACTGTTAATTTGGTATTTCATTACATCCTGGGTGTTTCAACACAGACCTTAATTGACAAACTGACTGGCTTCTACTTTATGTGCATCAGTGAACAGGAAAAATAGGGAGCAGCT